TCTGGTACCTCTACTAGGTCCCTGAGTTTTGTTTCATCTGCAATACTTTGAACAATACACCTGCAATACTCAAGTAGAAAACCCGGTACCTTTATGAGGTCCCTAAGTTTGTCAAATCATCAAAACTACAAATAACATTTTCCCCCTTTTTGATGATGACAAACAATGATATGATCTGAAATCTTCACCAAAATCGTTCCCCTTGACTGTGTATTCCCCCTTACTGTATTTCCCCCTTAAAGTATGTTCCCCCTTATTTAGCTACTTACAGTTTACCTCCCCCTTTTGGCATCATAAAAAAGATATGCAGTAAACCATTGAGTCAACATAAATACTGAACAAGATCAGAGCGAATCAGCAATCAAACAGTAGAGGAAAAGCAGTCACAAAAGAACATTGGAAGAACAGGAAAGGAATAAAGTAACCAACATGCCACTATAACATAAATAAATTAAAAACAAACTAAAAATCCATTAACACGATGATTAGCCACACAACAAAAGAGACACAGGGAAGGATTGATTGACAATTTAGGAAGAGGGGGGAGTTTTGGATAGGGACTGGATAACAAGAGTGAGTCGTGCATTGGCAGCATCATTATCCTTGATGGCCTTTTCTTGCAGGGCAGTTATCTTCGCCTTCAACTCATTGTTCTCTTTCTCCAGGGCTTGTACAACTGAGGAACCAGGTCCCTCACTCTGTGCAGTAAGCAGCTCTGCTTTGAGTACAGCAATTTCAGCCTCTTTACTACTCAACCGCACAGTGAGTCTTCAATCTCGTGTTTAAGTTGATCCAGGTCCTCAAGAAGTTGAGCCATCTTGCTTTTTGGTAAACCTCTGCCTTCAATACACTCACATTCAAACAAGGTGTGCTCAGAGATGGTTTGTTTAACTGTCCCCACCTTTCCAATATCAAGAGGAATCTGAAAGTGCTTGAATACTTTAGTGAGAAAGTATCCATACCCCATTCCATGTACTCCTTTCCTCTCGATAACTGTTTTGTGAATGTGTTCAATCATAAGACCAGGAAGGCTCAGAGCCGCAAAGCTGCACAACATCTCCATGACGTACAAGTCAGCAGCAGTAACAAGTGTTCTCTTTTCAGTGCAAGGGAGAACCACTTTGTTGACGAACTCGAAGACCAGCTGATACTCACTCTTCATAATTTTCTTATAGATCCCAGCAACCTTGGTTGTGGGAGTCTTTGAAATCAGAGATGCAAATTCTGAAGAGCAAGTTTTTCCCTGCACGGACCGGGTCCACCTATGTAGGTACTCTGAGGATTTTGCCCAACACCTCCTCATTCAAAGAAATGGCAACATTGTTCACGCGTGTGAGGAGACTCCCATCTTCCAGAAATTGAACATTGTAATAGAATTCACGAACCTCTTCTTCATGGAGGATGGGGGATTTCTTGTTGAACAGGTGTAGCCAAGACTGGATCTCCACCATGTCATGCAGAGAGTCCATGCCCGGAAGAGTAATAATCCCCATATCAAACACTCTTCCAGCGAGAACTGCTTGGTTCCTCAGACTGTCAACTACTTCCTGCAAGTTGACATTCTCAACTTTCCTGGCTTGAGGACCAGGTTCCTGTGTCCGCTTCCTCTTCCTTTCAGATTTCTTCCCTTTTGACTGTGACTTTTCAACCTTCTTTGTAACCCTTTCCCTTTTCTTTTCTGACTTCTTCTTGTTATTTTTCTTTTCAACCTCTTCTCCAGACAACTCAACCAATTTTTCTTTAGGTATCTTAAAATTTTATACCTTGAAAGTTCGTGCACTTCTGACTGCAGCAGCAGATCGTGCACTTGCCTTCAAGGCATCCACCATCAATTTTTGTGCAGCAGACCTTGTATTAGGTCTTCTCTTAGGAGCCTCCTCCACAACCTTTTCCTTCCCCTTTCTACTCTCCACCTTCCATTTTAATGGTTCTTCCTCACTTGCAGATTCAGATGACGAGGAAGAAGAGTACCGCCCTAAATCTGGGGTTTTATCAAAAATGGGTTGAGAAGGCCTTACCTCTTCTCTTTCCAGGGCATCAGTGTGTTCTGTTGTGGCCTCTTCTCTCATCATTGCCAGGCTCTCAATCACGAGTTCCTCACTCGCTGCTAGGATATTTGACTCTGAAGCCCTGTGTTTTGGTAGATCTCCCTCAAACATGTTGTCAGGCAACATGTCTTCACATGTACCAGGTACTGTAGAAGTGTTTAGATCGATGGAGAAGAAAGGGTTATCTGGAGTATTTTGTGGAGGACTGGGTGGGGAAGGAATGCTGGCTTGAGCAGGGGTTGGAGAATAGAATGCAAGGGGTGCAATTTCACTAAGTACGTCCAGCATTTGCTTAGAAGAAGATGAAGAAGAAGACATATTTGTGATACTGGAAGGGGTCGTTGAAGAACAAAAAGAAGATGAAGACAAATTTGCCTTTGAATGTGAGAGGCCTTTGTGATAAATGAGAGAGATAAAGTTAAGAGACGGATGAGAGTTTCAAGAAGAAAAGACCCTTTTTAAAAGACGTGAAAAGGTGCCAGGTCCTTGATTAGATGCGTCGTTTGAGAGAGAAACGATTAGACTGATCGGTCAGAGTAACCGATGACTGACACGTGGCATTTTCAACGGTCAAATTTTTTAGTTTAAATTTAATGTAAAAATGCTAACCTGGACAGGTACCAGGTATCATGATAGAGCTTAACTTCATTCCTTAATTGTTCTAGCCTCTTCTTTTTCTGAGCACGTCCCTATTGAGAGTATACCTACGAAAGGTACAAAAAGTGATCTTGTACAAATATTTAAAATTCACACAAAGGATACCTGCACAGCAATTCTAACCATCAAGGGAGTTCTACTGTTGGAGGCTAAAAACATCACTTGGAGATCAACATCCCCAACTTTAGTCGATTTCTCTCAAATTGATCCTTGCTGAGAGCCTTGGTGAAGATGTCTGCAATCTGTTCCTCCGTTGGACAGTATGTGAGCACATATTTCCCTTCTCAACATGATCTCTCAAAAAATGATGTTTAACATCAATGTGCTTTGTTCTCTTATGATGAACTGGGTTTTTTTTCCATACTCACAGCACTAGTGTTGTCACACATTAGAGGAATTGCTTTGATGAGGATCCCAAAATCTTCTAAGTGT